AAGAAAGTCGTGGAAAAATGGCTGTCTGGACCATTGTTACTTTATTTTTTCCTTCCCCCTTTTTGGAGCAGAGAACACAGTAGGATTGCTACCTCTTTCATTGAAGAGGTTTCTTGTGAAATGGGTCTCTGTTTTTAGTGGGATTAAAAATAACTTGCTGCCCAGTCATGCAGACTCTGGTTACCATTTATGACTCACTTGCTTCAGTTTTGTTGTGTGAGTTTTTGTGAAGAAACAGCCATATTTTTAAAGAACATTTCCATAAAGGATTTTTTTCCCTTTGTGGGGGTAGAGCAGGAGTGGGAAGGACGGGTGAGAGGGCCAAGAAGAAATCGGGAGGATTCCTGCTCACTGTAGACATCCTTTCTATTCTAGAAGAAATTGTTATTTTCAGATGAATTAAAAGCCTTTCATCTCTAAATATTTTCTTTAAGCTTATGGAATCAGGGAGCAGTCTGTGCTGTACCCCATGGCATGCATCTGTGTGGTCCCTGAGTCACACACAATCCACGATGGGCACAGGTTGGCTGTCCAAATAAACTCAGGGATGATGGCTTCCCTGGGCTGGGGATTTTCAGTTCAACAGAAGATAACGCAGAGATGGAGACCTGGCTCGTCAGGAGGTCAGTTGGACTCCAGCAAGCTATTGCCTCTGCAGAAACAGTAATGCCTTTAACATTTTTTGGAGATGGAACTATTTATTCCCTCCTTTCTGCATGCTGCTGGTTCAGGTCCATGGCCAAGTCTCCTGCACTCTAATCAGCCCCACCTCGGGTCCTTAGGGCTGGACACAAAGCTAAACATGCTGGCCTTAGGAACCCGAGATTGCTCCAAATCTCTGAGCATCTTGACTGAATCATTAAACACTTCATTATTTTTTAAAAGGCATAAGACCCACAAGCAATACCCACTAAGAGAAAAATAGTAGCAAGACAATTATTCCGACCAAACTACTTTGCAAATGGCAAACCACTAAGCTGTCTAACATTACGTGCTCTGTTTTCTGGAAGGGGAAAGACCATGTTAATGCAGGCATGGCTTTACTTGTTGTTACTCACACAATGGCGTTACACCATTTTCTGGTATAAATGGTAGTGTGATTAATTTAAATGCCAACCCCCCGCCCCCACCCCCAGGAGAAGGACTGTCATTGCAGGCTGGATTTCCTTGGCCGATTTTTAGGGCAGTTGGGCAAATCATGGCTTCAGTGAGGCAGCACCACAGAAGGTACCCTCATCCCTCACTATGTTTGGAGGACACAGGACTAGGATGCTAAGCCTCGTGTGTGAAATTAGTTACAGTTAGGGAGACCCTTTCTGTGCTCTGCTCTTCTAATCTAGAAGCCTCTGTTTACTCAAACTGTCCCCAAATAGAATAATCCAATCCTTTTGACTTAATGAGAATGGATTCTGAGGACAGTAGACCCCTTCAACCACTCAGCACTTTAATTCATAACTATTTAGTGAATATCTATTATGACAAAAATGTTGCGCTTGGTAAAAAATTAAAATCTGTGTGTCACTGGATATTTTTAAGTGTAATTTTATGCACAGAATTGAAAATAATGCAAATCACCCCATATTTTAAGTCTATCAAGAGTCACATAATTTCAGAGCTGGCAGGCTGAGTGCATTTTAACAGTCGTAATGGTTGCCTCAGGTCAGCATATTTGCCTGGGAAATAGATGCCCTCCCCTGCTTCATCAGTGTCCGGTAAATGCTGCCTTCATTTCCCATAGGATTCTGTAAATGTTTTGCTGACCAGTACACTACCTTCCAGGACCACTTGGGTGTGAAATCTGAACATGACTCTGAAGATTCTAGATTTCAGTTTTTATAGATTTTAGACCAATCTAGCCACACTGGCTTTGGAAATGTTATACAGCCCCATATCCAATACTATTACAATTTAAAATACCTTTACATCTTATAACAGAATGTAATATCTAACATGTATTGACCATTTATAATGTTCCAGGAGCTATTCTAGTCCCCAAAATTCGGTATAAGTACTATCATTATCCCATTTTAAAGATGAAAATCTTGATGCATAGACGTTAAGCATCTCATCCAACTAAGAATCTCATCCAAGATCACTCAGCAATTTTGGGGGATCAGAATTCTTTTTTTTAAGATTTATTTATTTTATACAAGAACTGGAGTACAGGCCAGATGTGCAGGAGGATGAGAGGATTCCCCAGAGACTGAGCTAGGAATAGAACAGGTAGACTGACTGAAATACAATGCTGAGGGGAGCAGCAGGCGAGGTAGAAGAGGTCTGCAGCACTATGTGGGTATCTTCCCGGCTGGCTGGGATCGAACCCACACTGCAGAGGCTGAGGGCAGCTTCACAGCGCTGCATTCAACCACCTGCGCCACCAGGGAGGTATGGACCAGGATTCTTAACCAGAAAAACAGGTGTGAACCTTGCCCTTCCTGGCATTCTCTCAGGTAGACCTGATGCTCCCACACCAGCCCATCAGCTTTTGAAGAAATTAGACCTGGCACAAAGAATGCAAAACAACCACCGTGGAACCTTCTCCAAAATGATTTCCCTCTAGTTGGCTACGATTGGAAATTAGTCTTACACTGTGTTGAATTATGCAACTTCCCTTCCTAGAACATCAGTCCTGGCCTTGAGGATCTTACAGTCAAGTTTAGAATAGCACCTATGTGATTAGAATATGCTGATACCTGGGAACCTCACTCAGTTTTCTGCAGCCTTAGAGGAACCTAGCTTTCACCTCCCTTCAAGCAAGTAGTTGATGTAATAGGGTGTAACATTAATAAGCAGATTCAGAAGCCACAGATAGCCTAATGCCAATCTGAAGTCGGGTGAGCAACCCAACAGCTAGCACTTCCCACCTTAGCTGTAGCCTGCAGGGCATCTTACTGCTGGAACTGACTGAAGCCGTCTTCTAAAGCCCAGCCAGTCTCCACTGTGCTGAGCTGGGGACTGAGGACTCTGCTATTCAGCATCACCACCACACCTCAGGTGTATTTCCAAGTGGATGCCTCAACACCCAAAGACGTTTGCTTCCAAAATTATAGTGTGGAAATTTTTCTTACTTGGGAGCACAAAGTTTGTTTGTTTTCCCACATATGCCTCTTTATTTGTGAATCATGAACTCTAATGTCCATCACTCACATCAGATTCATTAAGTGTGTCTTTCCAGAGTCCTATACATTTTGTAAATTATATATGATTGATTTACCCAGCATATGGGTTTCAGATAGTGTGTGGCTTTATTAAGTCCATGCAATTTTGACACACACACAAAAAAATAATTGATGCAGTGATTCCTTTCCAGAATAAAGCCTCTTTGGCTCGGGTCTTAATTCCTAAGAGTACAGAGCTTCATCTCTTGGTTTCCCAGGAAAGCCCTCGGTGATTTCTGCCCACTATAACCAGACTTTCTCTGTCATGCCTCCACCCTGGGGTCCCAGGACTTGTTTTGTACATGCTCCTTGTCCAGCCTGACAACTTCATTAAAGAACACTCACATTTGTAAACATACTGGCTTTTCAACGAAGATGGGAAATTTCCCTTCAGAACTGGCAACCTTACATCCTGGGGGTTGAACTACATGGAGGGAGATAACCTATTTACATACTAAAAAGGTCAGTGTTGGACAATCAGCATTTAGAGATGAATTTGCTCCTTCTTGCAACTGGAGCATAAGAATTTGGAAGAAGGCCGCAATTTTGCTGTCTCTTCCCTATGTCAACAGCACAGCATCGGTTAATAGGCAGGATGTCTGTGCTGAGCGGTGGTAGGCGATGATGGGTTCCTTTGCTGTTGAGAACCTCTCGGATTACTACGAAAGGGTATGTGACTGCAGCCATGCAGAGTGCAGGCCAGCCTCACCTACTGAAAACTGTCATTTATTTGCGGTGGAAATATTTGCATAATAGCTTTTCAGACTCAGTTCGTAAAACATAAACCATCATAATCGACTTTAAATTGCGTGGTTAGTGCTTACTTAACCTGCCATTTGTGTTAGGAAAGGTAGACTTGCAGCAGGCTTAAAACATTCTTTTTTGTGGTCTTTTATTTTTTCTAAGGTCTTTTAAAATATCAACAGCTTAATTTTATTGCTATGTATTGAAAGCATCTTAAAGGATGTCATTGTGAAAGGCATCAGTCTCTGATCTGTTTTTACTCCTTACCCATGTGTAGATTGAAAGAAAATAATGAGGACAGTGAGATCGTGGCTGCATGTAAAAGTGAGAAGTGGAAATCCAGTCAGGAGAGATGGGGATCAGAGTGAGGTGAAGATGAAGTCAGACTGGTTGGCCATGGCAGCCAGTCTTGGCCAAACATGCGGCTATTGTCTTTCATGCCACAGAACTCTGGCATATTCAGAGCTTGTGCCTTGAAAAGAGCACCCATTTAAGAGTGCCTGTGTTCAGCCATCATGTCTCAACTGTGCTGCTTTCTGGAAGTCCCCGTGTGGTCATTGTGTCTTGCTGGGAGCTACAGCAGCAGCTGTCACCCCAGGCCTCAGGGGGACCCCGTGCTGCATTCCACTTTCAGTGTCCCCCACGGGACCTATGAAGTCAGGTGTGGACCTGGCTCCTCGTGTCTTTGGAGACAAATGAAGTGGCTTCCAGTAAAACGTTGTCCTCTGTGTGCACGCACACCCCAGGTGACTCGCCCTGCCACATCCTATGAGGCGCTGTGCTTCCTCTGACTCCTGGCGTAAGGAGAGAGAAGCCAGCTGCAGGGATGAGCTAGCCCTTCATCTCATAAAGATAATTTGAGCCTGTTTAGCAGATAACTAGTCTTCTGGGCCTTCTATGATATCTGTTTCTCATGGTCATTGCTTTGAAACAGAGCGGCGGGGTGAGCCTCGCTCCTCCCTCAGTGATGCCGTGTGACCAGCGGCCAGGGTTCCGCCATGGCTGCCCCAGGGCCTCTATGATGGGGGCCCACCTAGATGGCGCCTGCTCCTTGCATGGTCTGCAGCATGTGCCACGCTCACCCTGACTCTCTTTCAGAGTTCTCCACGGAGCAGACACAGCAAGCGCTGCACCAGTCGGTCTTCATGTCATCCCTGGCAGCCCACCCGTTCCGGGACCTTCCCCTCGGCAGGGAGCAGCACTGCAAGTTGCTTCCAGGAGTGGCTGACATCCAGGCAGGCGAAGTGGCCCGATGGACGGTGGATGAGGTGAGCTCACTGCTCTGGGGCCCTGGGATGGAACACATCCAGCTGCTGGGAATCCTCCTGGGCACCGAATCCACTGTCTCAAATAGAAGATGTGTGCACGGAAGGTGAAAAGCTGGTCTAGCCTTATTGAGCACCACCTCTGTCTCCTTTGCAATGGGCCCTGAGCTAATTAGACAAGAGAACCAAGCCTCTAGTCCCACATCATAGATTTGAGCTGAGGAGGCATAAATGCAGAAGCATGTCAGACTGGCAGCCCTCAGCCCCTGTCCTAAGCAGCACCTTAGGTGAGCACCAGCCCCCAGCACATTGTGTGCCCTGAAGGCTCCCTTTGCCCAATGCCTGCTGGCCACATGTATCTGTGGCTGCCCTTTTGCCATCCTAAGTCACAGGTGATCCAGTCAACATTAGGTTTATTTTTAAAGTAAACTAAGCCACAGCCCCGCACCAACGACTTAAGAGAAGGAAAAATGCATCTGATATGAATACAAACATACCTTACAATAGTGGTTTTTAATAATGATCAGGTAAGTTCCTAAGCTATAGAAATGGTTCATATTTATGAAAAAAAAATTTTTTTTTGTGGGACCCTTGCCAGTGGCCGGGGAACAAACCAGCACCGCAGAGGCTACAGGCAGCCTAGCAGCCCAGCGCTCAACCGCTGTGCCACCAGGGGAGGCCCATGAAAAATTTCTTTTAAGGAATACCACTCTTTAACAAAAAAAAAAAATTAATAAATTTAAAAATAAAATGGAGGGCCTCCCCTGGTGGCGCAGCGGTTGAGCGCTGGGCTGCGAAGCTGCCCGCAGCCTTTGCAGCGCCGGTTCAATCCCCAGCTGCTGGCGAGGGTCTCACATGGTACGCAGACCTCTCCTGCTGTGCCCACTGCTTCCCTCAACAGTGTACTTCATCAGTCTGCCTGTTCTGTTCCCCGCTCTGGCTCTGGTGAATCATCTCACCCTCTCGCACTTCTGACTGTATCCAGTGCTTGTAAAAATAAATCTTTTTAAAAAATTAAAAAATAAAATGAAGGAAAACCCTGGGTCACTCTGGGGGCAAGATTAGAGCTATAGTTAAATAAGTGACAAAATGTTCATTGAGCACTTGACTGCAGTTACCTTGGCTTGATCTTGGTGTAATCTTCCATGCTGCCTTGGACAAAGAACAGACAGCAAAAGCTAGAAGGCCTTTTCCCTCTTCCTCCCACCTCACAACATCTGCCTGGTGGAATCCCCCACCTAACACCCCTCCTCCACTGGACATCGAGCAGAGTGGAGACTCCTCCTCCTGTGCAAAATCCACCTTCCTCTCCTTCCAAGGGCCCCACTGGTGCTGATAACAGAGTTGACCAAATGTGCCAGGCACTGCCTGAGTTTGGGGAATGACTGAATGTGATCCTGCTCCTTAAAAAGTACATGGCGTCTGCTCTGTTAGGAGTTTTCACCAGTTTACAAAGCAGGAGTCTGTGTCATGACCAAACCAATTGAAATTTCACACCTGTTGTGTCTGTAATCGACTTGTGCACATTTTAGCCTTTGAAATAGCACTGCATGCACAGGGATCCAGACTGCAAACTCAATGGCAAGTCATTCATTCTCTTCAAGTCGTTCAGCTGAACTTCTGCCTTTTTTAAATGAGATGGAGAGCCATATCGCTTCCCTCACGTGTTGCGGTGTGCCTGCCCCCTCACATCATCACTGTCCTGCTCAGAAAGATGTTGCAATAAGGGCAGCCACTGGATCCAGCCCACGCCTGCTGTCCAGAGCAGCTTTATCCTGGTGAATATGATAGGGAAGAGAGTGCTGGGCCCCCACCACCCACCTTAAAATAACCCCTAGTTCCCCAAGCAATGTCCTTGGCATGCCCTGAAGACCCTCCTGGGCTGCCCCTGCCTGCTTTCCCGTCTTCCAGCCTGGCCTGTGACTCTCACCCCTCCCGTGTTCTCATGCTCACACTGCTGCTACTGCTGCCTCAAGTACCTGCCCTGCTCTGCCTGCTGCCCTCTCCCACCCTCAGCTCAACACTCACCACCTGCCAGAGCCCCTGGACTGGGCCAGAGGTCCTCTCTGAACTCTCATTTCATCTGAGAATCTGAAATATATCTAAGCAGAGAAAACAAGGGGAGTCATTCCAGCTGAAGTGAAAAACAGGAGGTTTGCATGGAGCATGACATCTGGAAGGATGACAAATACACAGCTGATCCTTTACCAACGTTAAAAATGACAGCAAGACACAGAATATGATAGTGAGGCAAGTACTCTCTTTATAGAGAGGGAAATCCAGCCATCCAGAAACTAAATGCCACCTTAAGAGCACAGAGTCTGAGCCAGGTCCTGAGCTGACATCTTAGCGCCATGCACCTTCCAGAGCTCGGGCACAGGGAAGAGTAACCTGGAGCAGGAAGTATGGGGTGCTTAGTCGACTGTGGGAACAGTCTTAGGTTCTTATGTGAAAAGTTGTTTTGTGAAGATGGTGCTTCAGGTAGAGGAGAATGACAAAAATCTGCAAAAAGAGTAAGAGCGAGAAAAGGCCAAAAGCAGGGAGACCACCAAGGTCGCCACTGCACTGCTGGTAGGGGCAGTAAGGCCTGGACTGGGCACTGCCATGAGAAGAACCCAATTCATTAGATGTTTTAAAGTTAAAAGCAACTGCATAGAAAAATAGATTAGTTGCAGAAGAAGTAAAATGAACCAAATGTGATCCATTTATAGTCTCAGCACTACACAGTTTAGTGCTTAATTAGGATAATAATATGTGCGAGCTACAAAGCCTGTAGAGTTCATCTGAAAGAATAGGAAAATGGTGGTGCCATCAAAAAAGGAAAATGAAACTCTGGGGAAAGGATCCAGTTTGGGGGACTGGGGGTAAGATGATGAATTTACGACAAGTTGCAGTAAAGGTCCCTGGAGATTTCTGCAATGTATGCAAACAACTATTCCAGGGGCACAGTAGGATCCTATGCACGAAAGTGTCCAGGGAGGCCAGGCCCGCACATTCCAGGCAAAAGGACTGACACAAGCTTTGGGTCCAGGATCCTGACTGGAGTTGTAGAGTTGAGCTTCAGGGACTTTGGATGAAATCTGTTCCATGTGTATTTGTTTGTTTGTTTGTTTGTTTCCTTAAGAGGAGGGCCAGCATTTTCCATTCACTTCCCAAGGGGCCATCATCCAAAAAGAACAAGAAGCACTGTTTTAGGAACATTAAGCAGCAAATAGGAGATTGGGAGACGGTCACCCTCTGATCTGACAAGTTTCAAATCTGGCACTGAAGGAAAGTGGGAGATTGGAGGGTGACTAAAGGGAAGTAGATGGGCCCATTGCTGGTCTCATTAGGACAGGGAAGGTCTCAAAGTGAAGAGGGTCACTGGGAAAAACTCGAGATGCCATTGTGGAGAGATGACAGTTGCTAAATCTTCTATAAAGGGGACATGTGGAATGTTGTTATTACTAGAAGAGGCCATATTGCTGATTTCAACTAAAGAAAACAGCCATCGGAGACACTGCCTGGCTGACAGCACCCCTGCCCCTGAAGCTTCTTGGTGCTTCCATAACCACCCATTGCTGGGGGCCATTCCCTAATGTTGAATTTATCTTCATCTTGAGATTTCCCTCAACTGGTGCCCTTGAAAACAAGTACCACATCCTAAATTTCTTCCTGTATCCTCACACCAGATAGCACATAGATTCTCCTCATGAAGAATCTTGTGGGTAGAAAGTGTGGGCTCTAGGATAGATCTTTTTGTATCTTTGAAAATAAAGCAGCCTTCACATGGGAGTTCATTTAGGAGGTGTACCAGTGAAGAGCAACAACAGAGTTTGCAATCATTCTGGGTGCCACATTAAAAAATAGGGCAGTGAGGGTGAAAAGGAAGTACAGGGCAAGCAGAAGGGTATGTCGGCGAGCAGGCTTTTCCTTTGTGCCATGTGCCCACTGGGAATATTGGAAGGGAGCCTTAGTGACCAGGGACAGTACTTTGAAAATAAACTGTGGATCCTTGTTAGTGCCATTCAGCAAGATTTAAGCGGTGTCTTGTGTGTGGCTCAAGATGCAGCCCACCACTCACCCCTCAGCCCTCCCACACACACATACACCTTGGCTGCCAGCCTGGCCCGGAGGAGGACTGTGTTATATTGCTGCATCCTGCTACTGTGAAGAGAAGCCAGCGTGGGGCCTTTGTGACCTTTCCCTGTAGAGTCTTCATCACCGTGGCTGTTTCTAGCAGAGCCGTGTTTTTCAAAACACAAGTAGGCTACAAAATCGATGTCCTGGTTGCAAAATGAAAGACAAGACTACATGAAAGTGAATCACTGCAACAAACGTTATTGTTTTAGGAAACCTTAGTTACAAATGCGTGAGTGTGAGTACACACTAAGTTATGATCAGTGTGGCCTGTATTTCTTACTCTGGGTGGCAGAAATACTCAGTACAAAAAGAGTAAGTGTTTAACAGTAGGGACTAAAATATTTGGAAGTCTTTTTACATCTTTATAGCAAAATATCTTGCCCAGAGGCAAATGTAAGTGTGGAGCACGTGAACAAATGGGAAGGTGGATTTTATGCAGGACCCTCCTGCCAGGGACCCCTGGCAGGGACCTCAGGGCAGGAAGTGACATGTGTGTACATTACAGCCACAGGTGCAACACAGCCGTGCTCAGTACACAAATGGGCACTTTTGTTTCTTATATTCAGAAACGCTTTCTAAAGCACCGCATATAAATTGCCCTACCTTCAGCCAAATGCTCCCTAAATATCCATTAACTTTAAAAGATTGTGGTCTCTTTAAAAGCAATCTTTACACAAGAGGGAGTGTTTAGGAAAATGCAGGGTACTGCTAACTAAGCATAGCGGCTTTGTACAATTGGGCCCTTTTAAAAAGGGCAGATAAACTCATCTGTTAAAAAATGAGACCCGAGCTAGAAACATCATCCCCTGTGGACTTTCAGCAGCACCATCAGCCACACAGCTACAGGCTCAGCAAGATCGAGAACACCACTGTTTGGAAAG